CGGGTATATGAGTGGGGCTACATAAGCTTCTTTTGTCCGTTTAACAATTGAAATGAAACACCTTCCGAAAATTATTCTGTTTTTTGTTCATACCTTTTTTGTGTTTTACTATAAGGAAGCCCCAAATACATTCGTACAATCGACATTCGACAGGGTACTCCTCTCGACTGTCATCCACCTCCTCAAAAATGGCAAATCCCTGAGCAAAGCGTATCCCAGTTTTCGTGCTGTTGCAGATAACATCTTTAAATTGTGTTTTATAGAGAGTCTCATTGTCTGCTGGATGCACATGCCCTTCAGACTCGGAGACTTTATTTTCTGCAGATCCCGTGGGCAGGCAGATCCTAATACGTTTCTTTGCGGCAATCAGTGCCTTGGGGCTTATAAAAAAGTCCCGGTTAGCACACGCGTAGGTTATCATTGGTGAAAGTGCAATGTTATGCGTCAACAATGTGGCTGCATTTCCTCTGATGGGCCGGCGAACAAGAATGACCAGGGAGCGACAGACAAGCGACATGGGCGCCAACTTGTTGTCCACCTGCTTTTCAATAACCTTATCGTTTTTATCAACCAACACAAGGCTCAGATTACTGCTACGACAGGCATTCCAAACACATATCCTCGGAGACAGTTCGTCTTCAGCAGGGTTGTAGACTTCCTTTTTTGGCAACACATCAATATCTAAAAAGATGAAAAGACTAAAGTATATGACCAGGAGGTTTCAGAAGATTCTGTTTAAAAGGCATTTTCTAAAGACTGCAGATACTGAGGGGTCCATTTATATTGGAAAGCATCAGACTTTGTGTAAGTATATCTCTCGGATTTATCTGGAGTTAACACAGAGTATTAGTAGAAATCTCTAAGCAGAGACATTAAGATTAAATTTGTGCTTGTGGTCAGGCCCTACGTTTATCCTCCCGACGGACCATTTAAACTATATTATAACGAAACATAAACATGACCTTTGGCTGTGAAGCGTCAGGCCACCTATAGTTAAACAAAATTGGGGCCCGTAATATTCAAACCCCCTTATCTAAGGTTAACATGCTTTAAACCATAAACCTGCGTTATGGGCATCTGAGACAGAAGGGCTTAATGGGATTCCTGGTAGGATGTGATTATTTATCACACACACCATCCCAACTACGGATGACAGGATGGAAAATGTCTTGTACATCAACTCGGAATTCTTACTTAGGCAACAATTTTGCGGCAGTTTATCTTACTGATTGTCTTTGGGAAGCATGTGCTCGAGGGAACTGTCGACAGTTTATATCGGAATGGTAAACTTACACTGAAATTTTCGTGTACAGTGGTTAGCTTCTCTGAGTCCTAGCTGATGATAAGGGAATAGATGAGCATATGTGGACTGCAGTTACAAGAAAAATATTCAGATTTTTCCCTTTTTCTTCACCATCTGAAAACCCGGTAGACCCAACAACTTATTTAGACAGGATAAAGATCATTTAGGCTCCAATGGACGGCATGGTTAAATGACATCGGCACCCGGTCTCACCTGCGACAATGTGTTGATTGTAGTCCATTGTCTTTACGCCTTGGCTTTTCCCGAGTTTTTTTAAACAGGCCTCAAGTTTTTCGATTCCTTTTGGCTAACGTTCTCTTCTTCCTATATGCCTGCTAAATTATTTCTCCTAGTCACTTCGCCTGATATTTGCGGTCTATGACAAAATAGACATAGATAAAAAGGGATGTTTACAGTGCTAGCGTGCGCCAACTGATCGTGTTACCGGACACGCTCGTCCCATTGTAATTTGAAGAGTAATCTCCAGCACCACCAACAACCGCTCGGCAAGTACAACGCGACGAGTAAAGTGATAGAGTCCGTGCTCCAATCCCTCCTGCTACAATCGTCAATACAGCAGATCGTAACAGATAGGAATCCGTGGCTCAATGATGTTAGGGCCCAGCTGAACTGCGAGTGCACACCGCCCTGACGAGTCGTTCCCACGACAAACGACCGGTCCGTCCACACGAAGTGCACGTGATGACGCGCGTAGCTGTGCCCAAGCTCAGGACTCTAACAGGCCAACTGCATGAGTCACAAAGCCAATGAAGTCACTCCCTTACCTGAGCCCACAATCTGATTGGTCCGATTGTTCACGTCTCACTTGAGACCACAATCTCGTTGGTCCAACCTCTATGCATTCGCTTGCCTTAGTATAATGTACTAGGTTTGCACTAAGACTTCTACTTTTGCGCTCTTCTTGTTATGTTCTTCCTTGGGGGCTCAAACAAGGCGTAATTTAGACGAGGATATCGCAGCTTTGGCCACATTTACAACAAATAGTTCAGCAAGTCGTGCGTTCGAACCCCGTGGAGTAGCGTACAGCTGGCTGATGACGACTAGTAGACCAGGGAAGGATATTCGTATAAAAATACTCAAACAGACTATATCTTACCTCTCGACTCTATAAACAGTTGCCATTTGACAGATAGACTCTCAGCACTTATTAGTTACCAGTTTCACATACTGGACAGGTCGAAAGCATTACTATTAATGAGGGCACTTTCCAAATTACAAATAACTAGTGGTGGCAAAGAAAGACAGGACTTGCATTCTTTTCCTTTGATGACTGTGACGTTCCAAGTACAGTTCCTCAAAGTACACGTAAGTGGATAAATCTCCAGTTCACTAGTACGCTGCAAGAACCAGGCAACAGCTGAGTTCAGTCGCAGTCCAGAAGTTGGGGTCTGGCAGACAGCATCCGTGAAGTGAGCAGCGTAATCTTCGTCTCTGGCCAGTGCACGACTAATTTTGAGGTCCTTAGAGGAGCATAGTTTTACAGGTTCGCTGGTGAGGTATGACGGTATAATGATGTCCTCGGAACTACACTGGTAGGTCTGTACAGGGAAAAGCGTAATTTGCGTGTCAATAGGTTTGAGTTCTCCTTTGGGATGACAACTGATAGTTACAGCAGAACGGCAGAATTGCTGTGTTAGCGGAACCACGTTTGTCAACTTGTCCATAAGTAATACCCCTTGCGTATCTCTGAGACTTGTGTTGAAACCCGAGGACCGACAACTGTCGCGATGGCACACTTCGATGGAAATATTCTCTTTCACTGGATCGAACTTCTTCTTGTTCGGCATCAATTTGACACCTAAGTGTAGTAAAAAAATCCGAAATCTTAAAAGCATTCGGTCGTCATGTTCATTTTTTTTTATCGACAGCAATAAATATACTTTTTTCTGAAGGATTTCCCGCAATAACCTAAACCAAATTATCGCGTGCCTTTGATTCAACAATTCGATGTCACTAGATGTCATCAAAATTTACAGTAGCTCGGAGTCAATTTGATGAGATATGTAAATGACAATATGAAAATTTATTACAGACTTCTCCGCTCGGGGCCTTTTTTCTCGTAATCACTTTTCAGCTCTCTATAGTGTCA